TTTTATGATTGCCTCTAAAGAGTGCTATTTGGAGGCACACTTTTATGTTTGTCTCCAAAAGTATTTTTATTGTTATGTTTTTTTTTCCTAAAGAATATATACTCATAAAGGCCAACTCGTTTACAAAGGCATAATTTATACCAAGTACTTAACACGATTGTAATTATTTTTATAAGTATAGTTATAATAGAGTTATGATTATAGTTACAATTGTAATTATAATTACAATTGTACGTATTAACTAATAATCATAACAATAATAATAATAACAACAACAAGAATATCAACAACAACAATAATAACAATGGCAATAATAATAATAATAATAATAATAACAATAATAATAATAATAAACTTAATCAAATCGAAAATGTTAAATTAGATCAGTAATATTCAAACATGAATGATTTGGATCAAAACAGATAAAAAAAGATTGAGACCTGCTTCTAATTATATGTTGCATAATTTTTAGAGGCAATAATTTTGAAATGTTGACATTCTTGATTATCTCAAATATGTAGTCAATATTATTGCCTCTAAAACCTCCAAATTCAAAACTTGAGGATTTTTAATCCAATTAATACCTTTTTGGCTTTTCCCCACTAGTTGATTAGTCTTGCACTCTTTTGGCGAAATCTACTAAAACAAATACGGAGTATAATTTACCTTTAAATCTAGCCATGAATAATTGTAGCCAGGAAAAAGATTTTTCAATTTTTTAAAATTTTGAATTTTATCAATTAAGAACGTGAAACATTGATTAACTGTTAATCTAGAAAAATTATTAATATAAAGTTTCAATAATAGAAAATATGAATCTAAGACTTAAAAAATCATGATTTTTAATATATTTTTAAATAGGTAATTTTTTAAAAATACTTATAACTTTAATATATTAATAAAATTTTATGATGAAATAATCATCAAATATTGCAATAATAAATACAAATTACTTGTACATATCTATAAATTTAGGATATTTTGGAATTTTGATTGAAATATTTACTTATACATATTTGTAATTTTCTTCTTGGGTAGTGGAGACTGGAGTGGATACGTTCCTTAAAATTTTTAGCCAATTATTAGCCGCCTCATCTTTTAGCGATTCCCGCTGGTTAACCCTAATTCAACCTTCGTCCAAACTGTTCAATCGCTATAAGCGGCTAGCAAAAGAGACATACACCCGCCTGCCCTGCGTTGATGGGATCTCATCAATGGCGGAGCTTTCAATTTGATTGCAACGGAGGACGACCAGAAAGAGACACCTCAGGGTCCGCAACGGGGGGCTTCTTACTAGACAGGGTCATGGAGTAGGTGCTGGTGGAAGGCAGATTGCGACCACACCCCAGAGGTGGCGAGACCGTTGGGTTGAATCCTACTCCCAATGTGACACTCATCGAACCGAGGGAAGGCGGCGTCTGGAATTTGGAGGACGACATCAGCTTCCCCTCGGCAGGCTTACCCAGCTGCTTAGCGACCTAGGCCGCGTGCTTCTCCTCGCGTGACAGGCCTGAATTGTGAATTGAGGAATGACGGATCCTTTTTGACAGGTCAAGGAGGCTTTTCCAGGGTTGGAAGAACAACACAAACGGCAAAGAGGTATTGGTAATCAAAACATTCATTCTCTATGGTCTGCATACAATTTTTTTTCTTTTTATTTCTATATTCTTGATTACAATAATATTTGTATTTCTGAATCAAAATATTGTATTTTGTGTGCTATTAAAAAAAGATTATGTAAAATCTAATTTTCTAGAGTTGATAGGAATATCAAATGATTTTGATGCTCTATTCTTAAAGAGGGTGATTTTTTGTTAGCTTTGTTTTTTTTATAGAGTTGGGCAGAATTCAACAACAAATAGTTAACTCTTTCCTTAGCTAGTAGAATAGTCCTAGTTTTTAGTATATTGATGTTTTGTTTTCTAAGCCTTCGTTCTTGATTTCTTATTTGTAGGTAAGCCCAATCTTATTGTAACTACAAAACCGTAGCTCACAATTTCATTTACTGATTCTGTGTGCAGTGACATTTGATGCCATTTCACGTCTTTGATATCGCTTGGTAAATTCTTGGTTCTGAATATGAAAACAGGGACGAGAATATCGAGTATTTTATCTTCTTTTCTTTGGTTCTCCTAGTTTGTTTTATTAATTGTTTATGATTTAATCGTATTTGATTTTTTGTATTTATGAGTTTTGAGTATTCCTTTTAAGACATCAAGTATGAAGAGCAACATAGAGGGTAGTTCTCTTATATGGGAGAAAAGAAGTCAACACTTGAGTTACTAATGATTTGTACATTGGAACTGACATAACCCATGTACTAATCATACTCAAAATAGATTTCAGATTGCCAGGACTACTCCATCATTAACTCCTTGACATGAAGTAATGACAGAATCTGGGTTCAGCCCCTGTAATCAAAGGTTATAAGTAAGCTCTCATCTATTGCATTGAAATTCATATATTTACAGAGAATAAGGGCATTTTGATTATTTGATTATTTAAGTAGATACTCCATATAATTTTGTACGTCTTTTAGATGTAAGCACAATGGCTAGATTAGAAAAGTACACACAACATACAACTAAAATTATCAAGAAAAAGGAGCAAAAAACTATTTTCATTAGATAAATTTTGAGTCATTAAAAGTATGTGTTCTCTCTTTATCATATTCGTATTAAGTTTATGAATAAGGAAACAAGAAAATTGATTAGAGAGTTTGACAGGAATAGAAGATATTGCGTTTTAATCTTGTTTGTATAGATGGCTAACAAGTGCCACTTTATTTGTATGGAAGACCCTCCCGTCCAATTGTGCCTCTTTATATCTCTCTTTGCTGTCCTCCAGTAGGAGAAAGCAGTGTTGGTTTCAACAGATAATGATCCTGGGTCAGATATCGTGTTTGAGCTTTTCTTTAATATTCTGAGAAGAGGCTTTGCTGTCTTTTTCATAGAAGAAGAAAAAATGTTGTTTTGTCTTACCCATTTTTTCATGAAATCGATATGTAATTTGCATGTCTATATGTATACCATAGAGTCATAGACCACCTTCACTAATTATAGCTTGATTTTTGTGTTTGTTTTAAATTCTGCCTGGAAGTCTTGTTAAAAAACGTGTTCATACATACCTACCATAGGTTGAAACCACTTATCATCATTCCAACTTTCTATTAAAAAATGTCAAAGTTCAATTATTTTCTTTTAGTTTGGTTCTAATAGTAGCCAAACCCGATCTCCGTGTGATGTAGAGAATAGTAATCAACTATTAGTCATTGACCGTTTTTTTAGTTTAAATCTTCATTGTGTATTTTCTAGGGTTTCATTGAACTATGCACTAGTTGACGATCTTGCATACTTTTAAGCTTTAATGCATTGAAACCCTTTCCAAAATCCAATTTGAACTACCTAGAGAAACCAGCTTTCTGTGTCAAAATTTCTTTCTGGATTGTTAGTACTACTGGGCAGTCGTGCATTGAAGTTGATTCTATGTGTATGTTCCATTTTTTTAAATTTCAGGATGTAAATCTTTTTATTTGTCTGACTCAACATTTTCTGCATGTAGGACTTGGTTGATCTGGAGGATGATGAAGTTGCTCAGGTTAAGGCATTACTAGGGGAAAGGTATGAATTACTTTAATCCTCCAAATTTCATGACAACCTCTGGATTGATCCCTCACCCTACCCCAGTCATTTAAATTATTGAAGGAAAACACATGTTGGATATAAGAATTCTCTTTTTCATTGGTTGAAGAATAATTTACCATTAGGTGTGGGGTTGGGGGTACTGGTACTATGATACAAGAGCCACCATAGCCCTTTTGATCGTATAAAAAGTCAGTTTTTTATGTCAAGAGTTACTTATTCCCACATTTCCCTAAAAATGAAGAAATTTAAATTGCATGATGTTCCTACTAGTAATTAATTTGTTCATTATTTGTTTCTTAATATTTTGATTATTATTTATGCTCGAGTCTTAGCGGGAAGCCAGGCAGTTGTGCTGATATTAATCCATGTCTCTTTTTGGATCACCTTGTGTATTGCCAATTTTGTTGAGCTCTGCCAAGGCATTTTTGGACTTGGTCTGTTTTTTTATTTTTGAATATTTGGACTTCAAACCATAGCATTTGGTGAGTTGAATCTGTGTTTATGATCATGCGATTATCTTTTCATGGCAAGCTAATATTACTCTTTAAGTGTTGCTAAAAAACATATATAATTTACAATATGCCAGGTTAGCAAGGAGCATAATAAAGAACAAGACAATGATTATGAAGAGGGGGATGATGATGAAGAACACGAAGATTGGAGCAGTTTGTTTTATCTCATTACATCATAATGTTTTAGCAACACTAGCGAGATTCGGTTTAGAGTTTATACATGAGGAGATGTAATCGATTAGATTGAACAAAGTACTTATGTAATTTGTACATTTTGTTAATAAATGAAATATTATTTTGGTACTATGTGTTATTACGTTAGTGAGTATTTATTCTCGTACTAAATTATACTGTATTTTGAAATTTTAGAAAATATATGAAGTCTGGTACCTATAATTATTATATCTAGGACAAATGAAACGTGTCACTAAATGCCTATTGTTTGGGTTTGCGCAACTATATGGTTGCCTCTAAAAAGAATCCAAGACAACATTTAAACCGCCTCTAAAAACGTCTCGAGTCATTGGATGTGATTGTCTTTAATAATATTTTGAAACAACATAAAATGGTTGCCTCTAATAACATTTTGAGGCGAATATGTATGATTGCCTCTAAATATATCTTTTTAGAAACATATCCTTTTTTGCCTCTAAAGAGTGTTTTTAGAGGCAACAACTATTTTGCGACGGAGTTTTTCATGGCAACCACTAAATTGCCCCCAAAAGGGATTAGAGGCTAATTTACTATCTTTAGAGGCAAATTTATTATGCCTCTATAAATCAATTTTATTGTAGTGATAATTCAAGGAACTCAGTACTTTGTCAAAAAATGTATAAGCTTGAGCAGAAACGCGCACACAGTATTTCCATTAGTATTCCTGTTGGTAGTGTAATGAATGAGATTGCACAAAAATTAAACACAATGTTCAAGCAAATTAAACATATATTCTAAAATGGCCTTGATTGTACTCCAAGAGTCCAAGAAATGCACAATAATTTAGCCTCAGATCAAATTTGCCCAGTACATAAGATAATAATGCCCAGAAATTTCACGTAGTTGCTTTTTAATCAGATGGAAGATACATACCCTATCTTGCAGGGTGAGAAGGATCAATTCATAAACGGATCAATTCATAAACCCGCTTGTGGGAAGGTTTGGAAGTCCTTGTGATGATAATTGTCCCTGAGACATCATCTGTGACCGCCCCCCTTGCATATACCCTTGCGGAGGTTGCTGCTGCATATGCTGTTGCTGCATTTGCTGCTGCTGCATTTGCTGCTGCTGCATTTGTTGCTGCTGTTGCGATTGTTGCAATTGTGTCATCTGCTGTTGCTGCAGTTGCTGCATGAGTTGCGGTTGTTGTTGTTGCATATGTGAGAGTGTCTGCTGCTGCTGCTGCAACTGTTGAAGCTGAGGATGTTGCTGCTGCTGTTGCATCTGCTGCTGCTGCTGTTGTGGGTTTGGAATCTGGGGTTTGAATACTACCATATCCTGCATAGTTAGACGTTTCAAACATCAACAATGAATGAGTGGGCCTAGTACATGGAATTAAATTCAGAACATAGTTTAGGACCTCAAAGTGTCTTTTTGGAATACGGAAAATAACAGGCAAAGAAAGTATGAAGGGAAATAGAGGGGACAATGGAAGGGAAGGTAATTTTGGGTAAATTAAAGGTAAAACTAGATAAATTTATTTTGGATATTTGTTCACACATTTTATTTATTTATTTATTTATTTCTATTATATAAATACTTAGAAAGATATATGATTTTATTTTGTGTTTTTGAATCGTACTACCTTCATCCAAAATTGGTTAGTCAATTACTATTTACCAGGTCTGACTCAAGTTAAGGTTAACTCTCTCCCCTAATAATATTTAAACTAGTCAATGTTTAAAGCATATACTAGAAGGGCCAAAAGCTAAATTCGAGTATTATAAAAATCTGATACACAATGAGATAATAAAAATGAATTACTGAACATTGACCAAATGAATGGTATAATACTATAATGACAAACCTTTTAGAGATCGAAGGATATTTATTTTCCTTTGTTATGTTCCAAAGCAAAGCCAAACATTAAAAATTTAACTTTCATTGGCATTTTCTAACTTTTACCTAGCATTTTCCATGATCCAGACATATCGTTAAGTTTCAAAAGAAAATCTTACCCCTGGAAAAAGCATCCCGATCAAGCGGCAAGCTTTGTCAGAAACAGAGAGCAATAGTGTCTGTGAGGGCAATTGAATGACTGCACACTAGAAACATATTGCGTATCTTTTCAGACCATATAATCGAGGAATAACACTTTGCACAAGAGCCATTCAATAAAATAACACATCATTATCAGCACCTTAATGCCAACTATTTGAGATTAGAGCCATAAAACTTAGTGTCAAATAAGAAAGTGAGTGTAGTGTAAAATCAAGAAACATGATTATTGTACCAACGGATGGTGCACAAATATTTCCATCATTTGCAATGGAGCCAAAGATTCATTATTTTTTGGCTTGAGAATATGATGGAATAAAGCAAATGGCTCACTAAACTGTCTGCGCTTCTTTGTTATGAAGCAGCAGTCAGTCCATGCAATTTTGGACGCGATTTCCACTATGGGTCATCCAGAAACAGTCTCTCTGTGCTTTTTTTACAGGGGTAAGACTGCGTACATCCGACCCCCCCCCGTACCCCACCGTAGGTGGGAGCCTTTGCGGCACTGGGGTAAATGAAAATGAAAATTATGAAATGGATGGTGCACAAATAAGAGACCCCATCTGTAGAGCATGTATAACAAAATATTCACTGTTACCTTTGTCCCATTGGACATTGCCAACTTTGAATTAGGTGAGAAATAAGAAAACTAAAAATCGTGTGCTTGAGGTTTGTGCAAAAGAGAGAAATGAATACCACCAACAACAACAACATTATTCCAGTCCCACCTACGATGGGTTAAAGGGGGTTAGATGTACTTAGCCTTACCCCTGTACTACCTTCAATTAGATGACCCATGGTGAAAATCGCGTTGAAAATTGCATGGATTGATTGTTGCTTCATAACAAAGAAGCGTAGACAGTTTAGTAGCCATTTGGCTTTAATCTATCATATTCCCAAGCCAAAAAATAGTGACTATTTGGCTCCATTGGAAATGATGGAAATGAAAAAACTCACAAATTAGTATTAGTAGCTTTAATGGGAAGTGGCAAAGTTTTGGGACAATTACAAAAGGAAAAGTGGCAAGTCCAATGGGATGGAGGGAGAACATTATACCTTATGATACTTTGCATTTTTTAATTGAACTTATACAAGCAAGCCTCAGTAAAATACTTACAAGCTTCTTTTCTTGTAATTGACCAAGAAAACCATGCTGGTTCATGGCCCGAAAAACTAAAAAATCTGCTTTACCAACATATTGCCTATCATAAAAAATAAAATTTAATGGTGAGACTAATCAAAGTATAATGTAATAACACATATTCATAAATGGTTTAAGAAAATGCAATAATTGAAATATGAAAGGGGTTACTTGTTGCTCATATGATCCTGGGAAATAAGTCGTACTATTTGCATGGTTTCAGGCCAATTTGCAGCAAGCCTGAAAAAGAGATGGGCAAAAAATTCAATTCAGACAGTCAGCAACAATGTTCATAGTGAAAGGCAACACCAAGCAGTGCTTACAAAGTTGGCTTATCCCTCTAACAACTAATCCAAATAATTAGAAGGTTCTTCTTGGTAAAGTGTAACACTCAAGAGAATTCATAATGTGTACACTTACGTTTCAGATGCTGATGCACTCCTATACCCCTGTCGAAGTAAATAGGTCATTGGATCCATACAAGTGCAACACAATCAGATGCAAACACTATGAAACAGGACATTTTAAAGATGATTAAAGCACACAGAAATTCACAGGTTAAGCGGAAAGACACCTCTAGTCTGGTGATGAACACAGGTTGTCCTTGTCGTTGTCCAGATAAGTTTCCCTACAAGAAAATATATACCCGATAAAGTAATATATCAAATTTATGAAGTACATTTGAACTGTTCAGTTTGTTGCTTGTCAGGGAGGTTGAGACAGTAAGTGAAACCGGGTAAAAAAAACTTGTTGCTCTTTTCTAATGGATTTTGTAGTGTTAACCGAATTTAGGCAATAAATTAATTGACAAAATTAATTTCATGCAACCGACCTAACATAGTTGGGACTAAGATTGTGATGATAATGATGATGATGTTACAAATTAGAACCATCCTGCTGTTGGCTAATATTGTTGCCGACAGCAGTGTGATCTATAAAATATATTAGACTGGAATAGAAGATACAGTGACTCATATCACGTAATCTAGGCCACTCGAATTATAACAAGAACATGTGAGTTCTTCACGTAAGGGTTAATTCCTGATTCTAATAAAAGTCTGACCATAACCAAGTTTGTCCTCAACTATTTATTGAACCCAAATTGGTCTTTCACTATATAAGTTTGACTAAAGTTCATCCTCGTACATACTGTGTATGGGGTTCTAATAACAAGGATATTTTTGTCCAATCACTAAATCTTGACCCAATTTGGCCCTCAACTATGTAATTTGGATCGAATTTAGTTATCATCATATGATAAACACCCTTCTTAACTAGAGCAAAATATGGACAAGGACCAAGTTGAGTCTAAATTGCATACTGAGACCCTTGAAAACCAAACGGAGTCCACATTGAGTAATAGTATATGGTCGAGGGACCAAATCAGGCATTAACCCTTACAAAATTACAACAGTGCGATGAAATGCAAACACTTATCACTGAATAAATAAAACACACTACCTCCCAGACTTTGACATATTTTGACTGAGAAGTTTGCATCTGATTAGACGATTGCATCGGATTAGATGAATGCATCTGATTAGATGCTTGCTGCGGGGGGAGAGACATAGTCACTGCTGTATTGCTACTATTCACAATTTGCTGCTGAATCCCCTGTTGCCCTTGTTGACTCATTGCCGGAGTAGAAACCAACATAGTACCAGAAGGCACAGCAGTCATACTCTGCTGACTCCTGCTTGTTGCAGTTTGCACCATTTGAGAGCCAGCCATGCTTGCTTGGTTCATGACAGCTACTGTTTGACCCATACTCATGCTGCTTGGGAGAGCATTATTATTCATTGATTGTGACATGGTTGATGGGTTTGAAACTGATGACACGGCAGATGATGTGGAAACGAATGATGCAGGAGCAGAGCTTTGTCCAGTGGGTCCTGATGACGTAACCATTTGAGCTGTAGAAATGGAGGATGCCATCCCGCTGGATATCACGTTTGAGAGCATAGGAGTTCCCCCAGCAAGAGAAGTAACCCCAGAAAGAGCCTGACGTGCTTGGGCAACGGCAACATCATTCAAAATTCTCACATTGGCAGCTGAAGTGCCACCAGATGGACGTACTGGCTGTGACACTCCATGGCCGACCATTGGCTTTGTATCCTGCAGAGTTTCATTGTTTTCCTGGGGAACAGAAATAGGTGAAGAAGTTTGAAGGTTTGGAACAGGTTGAGAGGTACCACGAGCAACTGATGGAACATGTGGAAATGTGGGCGCTGGCATGGAGGTTGCAGTTGTGGGCTCCTGAAAATATATGCAGTGAAATTAGGGGGGGGGGTCCTGATTCCAAAGTACGCAAACAAAATAACTGTGAAGAATTTTACAATTTTAACAGTAGCAGAGGGAATGTTTCCAGTAGAAATCGGTTGCCGGTTCGTGACGGGACCATTTGCTGTAACAAAACAAAAATTACTCTTCAATACATGAGTATTTTTTAGTAAATTATTAACAAGAGTATTTTTTTAGTAAATGCATCAAATAAAACAAAATTATTGTCCTATCCAAATGACAACCCTGAGAGAATTTGGGAAGTTACTCATATATGGAACCCTTTTATACATCACTTCTTTAGCCCAAACAGGTGTATAGCTCAAATTCTCAACAGATTATCATGATAAAGAAATACCAAGTATAGTGAAAATAATATATTCAGAAATATGGATTGAATAAATTGCAAAATCAGAGAACCTGAAGGAACTGAAGCAGGTGGTCCAGATATGGGAATAACAGAAGACACGTCCATTTTAACAGGGCTTTGATTTGAAGGCAAACTTGGCATTCCGGTGCGATTGAAAGCAGCACGAGCCTCCATAAAGTTCTCAGAAATTAGAACAAGGTAATATGGATTCTTCGGATTGTCAATGGGTAAGTCCGCTCCTCGTGGATTACTTTTTGCCTAGGTCAACCGTCAAAGTAGTGTTATGGTTGGCATATTTATCAAACTGAAATGAGAGCAAAAACTGGTGATGCAGATGATTTCTTTCCGTAGTAGATGGCCCTAAAATGCAGCATAAAATTAATGTTCAAGATTAAAGATCTTTTAAAAATGGAGTATATATCCCTTACCAACAACATCATCTAAGCCTTACTCCCAAAGAGTTTGGGTCAGCTAACATGAATCAACATACGAAATCGGAGTTAAAAAAGATAGAAGCAAATTAATCCTCCAAAAATTTACAACCTCCGTCCCACTAGCATTGGGGCATGAGGAAGTGGCACGGATATTCAGAAAGGTAAGTTTATGTGGTTGATATTGAATTGATAAAGTGAGTATAAAGTAAGAATGATATAGAACCACACAAATTTTACCAAATTTGGTATGTGATAATCTTAGTGGGATGGACCAAAAAAGGAAAGATGGGAAAATCTTAGCGGGATGGAGAGAGTATTTGTCAAGAGTGATCAGTTTGGAACGAGATAACAGGACAGAGCTAGGGCACAAAGAGATCAGTTTTTGGATCCATTAAGAGCACAGGAGGAGAAACAAAAAGTCAAAAAAAACAAGGCCTTATTGAAATTAATCTTGTATGTAACTTAGTCAAGAACCCCAAGAATTAATTCTTTCAATTGTTCTTATTAATCAATACTAGTGTCCCTTTTATAGCTATCATAAGAGCCCAGACCCAAATAGGAATATAATGATAATAAGAAACTGACTAAAACTGGGATGAAAAATAACACCACTAATCTGATTAGGAAATTAATGATAAAACATAAGAACAGCAATCTTGTTGCCAAAGTTTAGCCATTTTCAATCTCCTGTGCTACTTGTTCTGCTTGAACCTCACTTGCACTGGTTGTGCTTCTTTCGCCCAACTTGTGTTGCTGGTAAGCACGACGCGAGAATGTATATGTATCATCACTCCCCTCATTGATCACGAGCTTGTCCTCAAGCTTGAATGCAGGGTAAGCTGCCTGAAATACCTCAATAGGTTCCCTCGATGCTTTCTCTGCTAACTGCCCCTTCCCATGTACCAATAGCACCAACCGGCCGCAATTCAAACGGCTGTGGAGGATGATGCAGCTGGTTCCAGAACCAGAGGGCTGCCTTCGTGTGGAAGTGGCTGTCCCAAAGAAGCTGATGGAAGCCCCTTGTGTGGCTTGAGTAAAGACTCATGGAAGACATTGTGGATATGACTAGCTGGCTGCAGCTGGAGCTGATACGCAGTTTCGCAACTGGAGCTGATGTGCAATTTTGCAACTGGAGCTGATATGCAATTTCGCAACTGGAGCTGCAACGCGGTTTCCCCTATACAAGCTGTGACTTGGAATGACTGATAGTACTTCGGTAAAGTTTGTGATGGCGCTGAGTCAAGGAAACATAGCTATATGGGTGCACCTGAAGCCATACCCTGTTGTCGGGCTCAAAGGTCAAGTCCCGGTGAGATTTGTCATACTGTGTTTCATGCGTTGTTGAGCCTGCTCCCGTCTGGCACAAACAGCAGACAAGAATGTATCACGATCAAGGAGCTCACGCTCCATGCCGTCCAAGCGTGTAGTGTCAGGTGTATAGGAAAGAAGGTGTGGGGTATCTTGGTCCTAGACCAATCGAAAGGGGGCACTTCCTAAAGTTGAATGATAAGAGGTATTGCGGTGTAGCCAACTGACCCGCCGATTAGGATGTCACTTGTTAAACAATAGAAAAATATTCCTAGTGCGCCGTTTGAGGGTGATAATCTGACGAGAAAAGCAAGCTTTGTCCCCAACAAATGAAATATGCCGACAAAGACTTTGTCGCGCTCAGACTTTGACTAAGAAATTTGCAGCCATGGGGAGAGCGGTGTAGGGATGACCCAATGGAATGAAATGTACGACCTTGGACAGTCGATCAATCGCCACCAATATAATTGACATACCACGAACCTTAGGAAGTCCTTCCATGTAGCCCATGGAAATATCAGCCCATACATGGCATCGGCCTTGTCCCTTCTTATTATTAATGGGATCGGATTAAAAAAATGATTATCTTTTTTCAGCCACAGATGTATCAAGCAATAATATAAAAACTGTGACAAGGCAGATGTTATTTCTAGTAATCAGAAACATATAAGCGCTAAAATTAGTATCAACTTCTTGAACAATCATTTCATATAAGTGAGAAGTCCGCTAATGGATAGATGCCAGAGTTATCAGGTTATCAGCTTACCGCAGCATAGATTGTCTTGAGTTTTAAGACCTGCTTTGGACATAAAACTGACAGGGAAACAGAACACTGCATAGAAAACAATACATCAGAAACAAAAATAAACAACAACATCCAAGCCTTGATCCCAAAAGAGTTTGGGGTTGGCTAACATGAACCGACTCATGAAATCAAAGCAAAAAAGATAAGAAAAGATAAAAAGATAAGAAAAGATAAAAAAATATAAAGATAAGATAAAGATAAACATAAGATAAAGATAAAAAAAGATGAAATTAAAATGAAAAAATATATAAGATAAAAAGATAGTAGAAAGAAAAACAATGACCATTAAAGAACAGAAAACTAGCACCTGAGCAAATGATTTTGCAACTGTCTCGGCATCGGATAGACGGCGGTCATCAGTCTGAGTTTCATTTTCAATCGGCTCGCAATTCTGTATCGGTGGTCTATAAACTGGTGTAGGCAATGGATAAGGATTACTTGCAGCAACAAGAATGCAATGCTTTTGCCCTTCCACAGTCTGCTTACTTTGGCTTCCACTCGGAGATGAAAGCATCTGGATGAAACATCTTATTAGATATGTAAAATATAATATAACCGAAACAGGGGCTAAGCATGAAAATACTCATTTGAAGTCGATATATAGCAATTTCATGTCCTGGTCATGTAATACACAGCACATAGACTATATACTTTAGAACGTTCTATCTGATTTGTAAAAGAAGACTTCTGAAGATCATTAAAGATATAATAACACATGGATTAATGGAAAAATTGAACTTTCAGTCTTACAAACTTAAAGATGGCAAAAGATATGAATGCATCACATAAGGAATAAAATGGTATAGAGATTAGAGAACCCCCTAATCATCATTAGCACCTTCATCCCAACTACATTAACACTGAAAATCATGAAAGAAAAGAAGCGGCAAAATAATCATAAGTATTTTTCATTAGAATGAAAATATCTTGAGTCAACCATGAGTTGAGATAACTAATAGAGTCATGCCCCATTTTCAAAGTGATCTTGTAAAATCAAACATGATTCTATTGCCTATAGAGACCACTGCTTAACCATTTAAATAACTCCATTGGTAATTTGGTATTTGCATGATCCTCGTGAAATTAGAAGAATATGAATAAACTATGTACAAGATTGGGCATGAAATGTATCTCATTAAAGGACTAACCCTTTACAATGCTTCAAAAACTTAAAAGAAACCCTACTCTATGAGAAACATACAATAAAGGTAATTGTAGAGTTCTGTGGAGGTATATATGAAAACTAGAATCATGTCCAATTTTTCTAATGTGTAGCAGTGCTCTTTAATATGAAATACAATCATCTTGAAGGTTTCAGATGAATACAAAAACCAAACTTTCAATATGGTTACAATTAGAAATGTTTGATTGAAAGAATAGGCATATTGATTTTCTGACTTGATGTTTATTTAGCATTTTTTAACTTAAATTATTACACTCAATATGAAACAAAAAGAATTTTTATTACAGATTCTTAAAGCAAAACAAGATGATGTTAATAATTCAAAAGCTGGTATGTCAATATCATGAATAAAATAGCTAATAAAAGTACACACCATTAAAGCCTCAGAAAGCCCTTCAGCGATTGCAGCATCCTTAAAACCCCCACCACCAAAGGGTATGAAGGAGAGCCACTGGAAAAAAAGATCAACATCTCTTGTCCAGCCACTTCGTTGAACCAAACAAGCTGCAAGAAAGATGATATAATTCGTAATAGTATTCCACACAAAGTCAAACTAAAATGCTACAATGCAGAAGAAAAGTGGGACTCATTTGAACTTCAAAACATTCATCGCCGAAACATTAATTGAAGTTTAACACTGTAATGCACAGAAAGCTAACAATAGAAAGAACATATATGATGGCATTGGGTCACATCATTGATGCAGCTTTAATAATTACTAATTGAACAGGAAAATGAAAAGAATAAACAGTAGCAGCTAGCATCACATAGGTTGGAAGAGAATCAAAGATGAAATGCACATGCGTACACTACATCCTCTTTAAATTGAAATCTGGAAAAATTAAACTTGGGAGATTTCCCAAAATAGAACTAAATAGGGTTTGAAATTCTAAAATAGGACTACTATGTTTTTCTTCCCGAAATAGGAGTAAGATGGCAGTATTTACTGCCATCTTTTAGTCATGATTGTCAAATAGTTGCAGTACTATGCATTCAACATTGCATTATTTATTATAATTAATGGCAGTAATTTTCAATCATGGCATTGTTTTTCAATCATGACACTAACTCCTATTTCTGGAAGAAAAGCATAGTAGTCCTATTTTGGAATTACCAAAGTTGTTTACTCTTATTTAGGGCAATTTTTCATTAAACTTTGATTTGATAGTGAAAGGCCAAAAACATATTTTCAACTGCACATAAGCATTAGATAAACTTTCACAATGATATTTGAAACATCTAATAATCCTTCTTTGTCTTTCTCCAAACTTTATTTGGTTCCGGGAAATGTAAAAGATTAGGCAAGGCACAACAGCTACCTTCTAGGATGAGTAAATAATTTATGTTGTTTTTCATTACTTTGTTCTCTTTGAGGAGATGGTAAGATGAATTCATGAACTTCATGAACTAATGACCCTTATTTATTGAATCCCTATCATTCTCTAGAACAACAAAAGATATGACATAACACAATGCAATAACATGAAAAATTAGTCTACTTTTTTCAAGTGATTAATAATGAATTAGAGATGATATACACACCACTATAAGAGCCATGTGAATTAAACATTACCAAACCGAACTCCACATTAGCCCCGTATGGCTTCTGAAAATGTTGCCAAGCAGAGAACAAAAGTTAGAACTCTCACAAAATGGGATTTGAACCCTTTACAAATGTCCCAATGGGAGTATTTCTACTAGTAATAAATGAGCGGTGCATTAAATGCATGTACACGTGTTGGCTATTCCATGGGCGAGAACCCTAGTGCGTGGCAGAGTGTGAAGCGTGTTATTTCTTTGACCAATTCCTGGGCAGAACCATTGATATGCATCTAGTTACTAGAGCTAAGGAGTCCAAACTAAATGAGGAAGACTATACTGTAAAGCAAGCTTCTTTTAAAAATACTTTTATTATTCTAGAAATTCATAGGGAAAATTGTCAATTTGGTCTTTACACAATTGTACTATCACGATAATGTCAATTAAGTCCTTGTACTTTTAAAAAAAAATCAATCAAATCCCCACACTTTGTAAAATCGTTCAATTGAGTCCATCAGCTGCTAATGTGGCACACATATGGCAGCCCAGCCAGTCATTTACCGATAATGTGACGCACAGGTGGACTGCCACATCAGCAGGTGACCTGGTGACATGGCGAGTAACCTGTTAATTGACTCAATAGAACGTTTTTCCAAAGTTTCGGGATTTAATCGATTTTTTGAAGTATGAGGACCTAATTAACTTTTTCGTGATAGTACGAGAACCAAATTGACAGTTTTCCCTTCAAAATATGTTACTACGGTGCATGACAAGATAAATGGAATGAAAACAACTTTGATTTATTCAAGAAAGCATAACTATAGTACTATACACTGACCAAGTAGCATCATAATCATTGCCATTACTGCCACCTCAATCCGAACTATGTCACGCTAGTGGCATAAAAACCATAGTGTCAATTCATTGTCTAAAATAGTTAACACTCTAAGTTCATGCAAAAAGCAGTACAAGTTTATATGCTTGATGTCATTCTTGTCACTAGCAGAGCTAGAGAGAGTCCACGCCAGGCCCTGGCCCACCCTAATTTCGGTAATAATAATATATAAAATGTTTCCCTTTGTAAAATTTTCCTAAAAACTTTCTATGAAAGAATTATTTTCTGGCTGTCATGCTTCTTATCACAGCCTTCTATGTTCTAAAATTACATCAAATTTCAAATCGCCATCATCATATCTTTGTTTCATATATGCATGAAATATATCACAAGAGTGATAAGTTGAGATTGTAACTATAATCATGTTTAATTACATGATTAGTATTAATTAATATTGTGAAACCAACATGCACATCAAACACATTAACAAAGGGTTTGAAATAGTTTATTACGTAAGCCTCATTGTGCAATGAGGCGTGACTCGTGAGGCATAATATATATATATATATATATATATATATATAGGGATGGGTTCAAAATGAGAAGACATCTTAACGTGTAAAATGAGAATTAATCTCAGCCGTCCAAACTGTCGATCCGATGCACAATAACCCCTATCTGATGCACTTTCGAATAGACCTTATTTGATGCACTATTCGAATAGTGCATCAAATAAGGTCTATTCGAAAGTGCATCAGATAGGGGTTATTGTGCATCAGATCGACAGTTTGGACGGCTGAAATACTTTTTTTTATTTAATTCTCATATATATATAGGGAATGGATCTGGTGAGAAGCTTTGTATAGCTGAAAAGTGAGAAGTAAAGAGGACCGTCCCATTAAAAGTTGATCAAGGGCCGATTTAAAATTTGCGAAGGCGCACGATTTTTATACAATGACATTCTACCCGTTAACTTATCTCTGCAACTAAAACAGAGACGGAGCACCTTCCTAATAACTTTTGCGAAGTGCAATCGCTCATGATTATCGCAATAACTCTGGCGAAGTTTAATCGCGCAATGACGAACTGCAAAACCTCCGATGAAGTGCAACAGTTCAATCGCAAAACTCTCAGAGCCTTATTGCGTATGCAATACTGCATAAGCCTCATTGTAATGTTGGGTATGGACACTCCTAGCGCCATAGGTAATGCCTTTTGTGCCATAGTTTAGGAATCAGTTAAGGCGTGTCTTGAGTTGCAATTGCAATGCGCAATTACAAACAATGGCCACAATTCAGAAGATGAAGAAAACTACCACATGTATATTCTTCTTTAAGTAAACTACACACCATGACAGTGCATCACTTATATACATGTACTCTGTACCACTGAGTAGATACTAAGGTATCCAAATTTCAATCCCTCCACAATAATACATAATGAATTCTTGCATCATGAAATATAAAAACTTGCTTTAGTTTCCTCATTCATTATTTATTAGATTAAATGTTACATCCAAGCAATCATTATGGATGCCAACATACCAAGGTCATGGTCATCTATAACCATAACAATTTTATTCAGAACAAGGATGAAGAATAAATACTTGACTGTAATGTTATGTAGGGAATTTGCTAACCTGTGCTACTGTCTCAGCTCCACAAAAACACCTGCATTTTAGTTGGAAATTAATACTTCAAAGCACTGCTCGAAACCACCATTATAAGAAACTAGTGGGGGGAAACAGTTTTATTTTTCCACTTCTTTCTTTTGATTGTTTATCCCTCTGGTCCAGAGACAATGACTGTTGACCATCATATAGAAAGGGAGAAAAAAAATGAAACTACCTTGCTAGTAAAATGCTCAGATAAAAAAATGTACACATATATTTAGTTCTATTAACATAGTATACAAATTTCCATCATTTGCAATGGAGCCAAAGAATCAAAGATTCATTATTTTTTGGCTTGAGAATATCATGGAATACAGCAAAATGGCTCACTAAACTGTCTGCGCTTCTTTGTTATGAAACAGCGGCCAGTTCATGCAATTTTGGACGCGGTTTTCACTATGGGTCATCCGGAAACAGTCTCTCTGTGCTTTAGTACAGGGGTAAGACTGCGTACATCTGACCCCCCTCCTACCCCATCGTAGGTGGGAGCCTTTGCGGCACTGGGGTAAATGAAAATGAAAATGAACATAGTATACAAAAAAAGCTGGAAAAGAGGATACCATGAATGAAATACATAGAGGCTAAGGGAGTGTTTGCAATTGCTTCAACTTTAAAGAAGTGATTTTTTAAAGTGATTTTGGGAAAAGTGATTAATAGTAAAAGTTGGTAGTGTTTGAGGAAAAAGTGATTCTGAAAAAGTAAAAGTTGGTAGTGTTTGGTAAAAGAAGTACTTTTTGTGTAATAAAAAAAGTGAAAAGCAGTTTAAAGCACCCTTCCACCTGCTTCCAGCTTTTAGCTTTTAAGTGATTAATTTAAGCAGAAACTGTCATTTGAAAACATTTTTTTTTAACTTTTTTTAAGCCAAAAGCTGAAAAGCACTTTTTTTAATCAAATGCAAACACTCCTTAAATAAGAGATCCTAAACTGGAAAATAACTCTTAAATACGAAGTATCTGATAATAAAGTTTCTGAATCTGAATGGGGTATGTGTCATAACATCAAGAATGATTAGATATTAATCAAATCTGAACTCCTCAAACCAATGTAATGGCATGACTGAATGAGAAAGCAACACTTCATCAACATTAGCATATTCCTACCCCCACCTACAGAATCCTATCAAATATTCTTAATTGGCTTATCTTTTTTTGGATTAAAGTAAAATATTGAGAACAAAAATTCAAAAACTATATAAAAGTGCATAGGCGCATACCCTAGAATCAAAGATCACAGTGATGACAAGTTTGCGTCCAAGCAAACACAAAATCTAAGCTACTTGTCTGTACAAACTCCAACTAGGCACGTAGCGCAAAAACATACTCAGGCCATCAAAAGTATTATTTTTGTAAATCAACATTTTGTTTTGAACAGTGTGGGTCTTCTTTTCAAAAATTATGGAATTTTTAAATTTACAAATTTGGTAGATAGGGCATATTTCCATCATTTGCAATGGAGCCAAAGATTCATTATTTTTTGGCTTGAGAATATGATGGAATAAAGCAAAATGGCTCACTAAATTGTCTGCGCTTCTTTGTTATGAAGCAGCAGTCAGTCCATGCAATTTTGGACGCGATTTTCACTATGGATCATCCGGAAACAGTCTCTCTGCACTTTAGTACAGGGGTAAGACTGCGTACATCCGACCCCCTACCCCACCGTAGGTGGGAGCCTTTGCTGCACTCGGGTAAATGAAAATGAAATGGTAGATAGGGCATCAAAAACCAAGCTGCATTAGATTCTTTTAATAAATTGGACAGGAAGTCCCAGTTAAAATGAAATAAAATTATCACAAAACAACTTGAATAGCCCAACATATCAATTAACACACTCATCAAATGATATTACATAATCATGTTGTAAGAGCTCACAGAAGAGTAAAGGCGAACCTAATGATTTTTTCGAGGTAATCTGTGACAATGGAATTCCAATAGGGGCCCATGGCGGCGGTGCCTTCAACTGCAATTATTAATTGTTTCTCAGCCATAGGCATTTGATCGCATAATCCTCTTCCCTTCAAGCCCCCTATAGGTCTACAGAATAGAACGTCAATAAGGGTTCATATTGAATGTAAGAAGCAAAACAGAAATACTTCTCAAAACTCTTTAAGACCCGCTGCAGCGATAAAACGGAACGCGGCCTGTGGAAAAATGGGGGAGGGGGCGTCGCAACTATACCGGACACCCGGTTGTAAATTTACGGCCGGCTATAATGTTCTTGCACCCCTTGCTTGCTGATCGAATCCTTACTATATGCTTCTTCTTTCTTCTTTCTTCTTTCTTCTTCTTTTCTTTGCTGATAGAATCTGCAGATGTTCTTTCTACTTCTTTTGTTTCCCTGCCTGGCTGAAATTGGAGAAGCACTTCTGATACTCTAATTTAAGGAGTGTTTGCAGTTGATTAAAAAAGCACTTTTCAACTTTTGGCTTAAAAAAAGCTAAAAAAGTATTTTCAAATGACAGCTTTTGCTTAAATTAATTAATCACTTAAAAGTTAAAAGCTGGAAGCAGGTGAAAGGGTGCTTTAAACTGCTTTTCACTTTTTCTATTACACAAAAAGTACATATTTTATCAAACACTACCAACTTTTACTCTTTCAGAATCACTTTTTCCTCAAACACTACCACAAATGCTGGGCGCACCCCCTTTTTTTCAAAAATGGACAAATATGTCCTCTTAGCTTTATCTAACGCTGGGCGCACCCCCTTTTCATATGGAGTATTCATTAGTTAATTACTAGTGCTCGGCTGCGAGCCTGCGACGTTAGTTTATCAAATACTAGTAACTCACCCGTGTGATGCACGGTCGGAAAATTTTTCTTCAAATTTATTTGTGCTCATTAATACATAACTACATACGGTTGGTGTATTTTCTTAAAATATGTACATAACTACATAATACATACCATTGAAAGAGTCTCATGTTAGAGGATCTGCGTTGAACACTTGTGCGATGCACGGTTGGTAAAATTTCACAGATGTAGCTAATTTTAATCAAATTTAACTTCAAATAATAATAACTTGTAATTTTAATTTAATTGAATGGAGTTATCCTACATAAAATTTCTATAGTAGGTATCACACTATAAAGATAATTTGAAAATGCATTGCATTTCATGCTAAATCATTTGAAACACTTTTCATATACAATATCCTCGATTTCAATGTTTGTTCTCATTTGGAACGTGTTTTTTTACGATTGTTGATTGGTTACTATTAATCCAACCACATAAAGTTGAATATGACTAAAAGTAGCATTTTCAACAAAAAAACCAATGCACAACAATGACTGCTAACATGTGAATGAATGCTTATGAATTAACATCTTTTATCTCGCACCAACCTGTCTGGCAAATGATATTGACAAAGAACTTTTCCATTTTCAAAGGTTTATATATATTAGTGAAGGTAAATTATTTATAATGATTAAGTAATAAGTTGACTATAAATTTACACGAATGACTTTTTTAGATGAATTGTCTCTCTGTAAGTAAAATAAGGGAGTGTAATTATGTGAAAATGTGTTATGCCATTCTTAAACTATTCTTGAATCTAAATTTGTGAAAAAAAGTAGGTGCTTCTCCTATTTCTAATACCAAAGTACGATCTAGTCTTAGTCCGATTTGGTTTGAAACTAAAATATATAAATCATCCAAGTAAAAACATTCCAACTAATAGGTGACTATGCATTTATACGAATTGCCCATGTAAATGGCAAATCAGGGGGTGTGCAAATATGTGAAAGTGTGTTATGTCATTATTTAACAATACTTGAATATTAATTTGTGAGAAAATGCTAGTTGAGTCTGTACACGAAAAAGTAATGGAAGAAGTTGGAACACTGTGCCCCTTTAAAAAAAATACTCCGTACAATCATTCTTCCCAAACCTACATGTCATCTACTTCAGTCCATGAAAAATGTATTTTTTGGGTTTCTTTTTCTTCCCAAACCCGTGTGACGCACGGTCAGAGATGTTTCGGATTCAACTTCAATTTATCCGCGTGTGGTTAAATGTCATCTAGGTGATGAAATGTCATCTTTTTTAAAAAAATTGATGTTAAATTTTATGCTTACCAAATAAAACCTTAGATTGAGGACCGGAATAAGATATAATCATTTTGTTTCCTATCTGTATAGGCTATTCGTATTCACTCAGGTATTCCCCTAATTATAATACTAAATTATTACAACTAAATTATTAATTTCTATTTTAAATTTTTAACTAAAATATACGTACATCATTGTGCACGGTTTGACAATTTTTCTTTCAAATTTATGTGTGTTTTATAATTCAATTCACACTATGAATTGATGAGAGCATATGTCTTCATGTAATGCTGATATGCATCAAAACATTAAACGAAACACACTTATAATATTATGGTCACAATGAGAGTACTAAGCAATGCTTAAAAGATCAAAATCATCCAACGAATACATTGAAGTCATAACATTGTAAATATGCATTATTTAATGTAAACCTAAACATTGTTGAGCACTTTGAATATGACATTATATTCTGAGTCTTGTCAGTGATTCCTTCATCTTCATCAACAATTAGAATTTTCAAACCACAACGATTGGTAACCCTTGATACTGCAACATACAACTGTCCGTGGGTAAATACCATTTTTTTCAACAACCCAATCCGGGACAAAGATTGACCTTGACTTTTATTTATAGTCATAGCATATGAAGTCATAACAGGATATTGTCGCCTATGAAATTTGAAAGGCAAGCTGACATCAGATGACATCAAGGACAATCTAGAAATTATACTTTTTGTCCAGCACTCACACAAGTTAAAATATTCCCCCTCCAAAACATGATCATCAAGCCTCGTTAGCATATGACGTGTCCCGTTACACAACCCCATTGAATGATCAATATTTCGCACAAACATCACCGGGTCGGGGTCCCTACCTTTAACGTTAACTCATACTTCAATATACCAAACAATTTTATACTATTCAAGAACTCAGGTGCGTGCAATCCCGCCATTAGAACGGTCGTAGAATCTACCTTAGAAACATTGTCGGAACTAAGATATGTTCTTGAAACTTCACCAACATTAAGAGCCGTCATATAGCCATTAACAGCTTCAACCACAGCAAGTCAGCAAGTGTCGGTGCCAAAATGGCACAGTCGCGCAAACAACTCATATCACCTGTAGATTCACCATATTCTGGAAATATGCTTTCAACAATCGCAAGTATAGGATCTCAATTTGTGCGTATCAATAGATCTTCAAGAATAGTAATACGAACATGACCATCATTACTTTCACCCGCAACACCGTCACCAATGTTTGTAATCCAATCTGAAAAGACCTTCAAATCGTAAAAATATGATGGATTAGTCATGTTCTGCAGGCGCATTTTTTTTGTCAAACGAATGGCTACACCACAGATATGATGAATTAATCGCCGTATTGACTACATCATGTCTACTCCCATGAGGTATCACTGGCAACACCCGTCGAAAATCAAAAGTTTGTGTAAATTAATTGAAGATAAATTATTTATAATGACTAAGTAATAAGGTGACTATAAATTTACTCGAATTGCATTTTAGACGATTTGTCTCTCTAAATAAGTAAAATAAGGGAGGGTAATTATGTGAGTGTATTATGTCATTCTTGAATTATAGTTAAATCTAAATTTGTGCGAAAATGTTCAAATATGTGCTTCTACTAATTCTAATATCCAAGTATAGTCTGGTTTGGTTTGAGACTGAAATAAGCCTAAGTATAAACATCTCAAGTAATATGATGACTATGCATTTATACGAATTGCATTTTTATACGAATTGCATTTTTTACACGAATTGCCTGGGTAAATTGGCAAATCAGGGGTGCAAATATGTGAAAGTGTGTTATGACATAATTAAACAATACTCAAACATGAATTTGTGAGAAAATGTTAGTTAAGTCTGTATATGAAAAATAATGCTATCATTTAAGCACAATAACTTTCGAAACACATTCAACAGGCAGAATCTATAGTAATTCTTAATTCAAAAATAGCTAAGAAATTAATTGTATAAATATGTACTCAACAAATATAAAAGAAACCTCCCCTCATTTTTCAATATTTTTTAGACCAAGTGTGAAAAACTGAAGAGTGGTTAGTCATGCCCTTTGTCACAATGCAGTACATATTTATCAATTTTTTTGTTAGATAAATTAGAATTTAATTTTTTTATTAACCAAATAAATGACAAAAGTAACTATCTATTTTGATATGAGAATTGGTTACATAGATATGTATTGCGTATTGTTTATACGTTATGTGACCAAAAAAAGTAACTATACATAATGGCACATGGGTGAAGTCAGGGCACTGGACCAGAATGAACCGGTATGAAGAATACTTTTGAAAAAAAGACATGAAATTTTTTTACCTAAAAATTAAGTTTTTTTTTTAAATTTGGCGTGGGCCAAGACCTATGTTGACCTCCCCTAGATCCGGCCATGTCTACAAAACGCAATCCACATTATATTTGTAATGATTTTGCTAGTTCAGTATTGATTTTGATAAAAGAAACTCACCTCATTCTAGATTTATCATACGTTTTATGAAAGCCTAATTTTGAAGCCATTAACCCCCGTTCTTTTTCCTTCTCATTCCATATTCTTCCTTTCCCCGACCTCCCCTCCTATCTCTTCCGACCTCACTCTCACAATCCTTTCTTCTGCTACCAAACAAATTAACCCCAACTTTCTTGTTTGGTCTGGTCTTATTTAATATGATCTGATTTGGTCTGGAACTGAAAACAGACCAAAAGAAAACATCCTAAGGTATGAGTTATGAAAGGGATTACTCTTCATTACTAATACACATTTTCAATTGGTAAAATGATTATTTGATTAGAGAAAATAAGGAAGCAGACCCTGATGATTGATATATACTCCTGTTGAGGTTTATTCCTTCAACCCTTGGACCCAACACGTAAGCCCAAAGATTTCGAGTGGAGTGAGTGTGTGGTTATCTAGCCCGACAACTATCAGATGAATCAGGAAACAAGAGTAATAGCAGGCAATGTAAATAGGTATTATTAACTTCGTAATAACTCCCCTAAGTACAATCTACTTGCTAAAAAGGGCACGTCGGCCGTTCGTCTTACAAGGCGATAGGAATGCTACTCGTAAGAATGCTGGAGCTAGTATGCTAAGAATAGAAAGTTGCCAACCCTTTACAATGAAATAAATGCTTCTATTTATACCCGCCAATGGGCAGGTGGCTGTACTGACGTGGCAGCCTGTGGACCGCTGGTGTCCCAACTACCAAATCTTTAGCATTAAATGCACTTCCCGCCAGAATCTAGGTTTCCCGCCGGATCAGTGGGGACGTTCGTCCACCCCGGAAG